AAAGTAGCGACGAAAGCAGACGACAAAAACATTGTTAGAGAGTAGGAAAGGAGGTGAAAGGAGATCATTAGCTTTTCAGAAAAGAAAATATGCTGTTGCTGTCAGGTTTCAAACCCGGGATCTATTCATTATGAAGCAAGCACTGCACCCCTGGACCACGAGAGCCCCCTTGTGGCCTTCATAGACAAATAATTTTGGTTGTTCGTTGGTGCAATATGGTGGCCGCAGCAGTGTTGAACAGGTGATCGTTATACACAGTGAAATTATACAGAAAAAAAAACGCAATTTGGGAAATGGGAAGTGGCCATTTTTACATGTGAGCGTATTATAGAGATGGTCGTATTATACAGGTGGCCGTCATGGCTTAGTTGATTGTACCTATCTGTCTTGAATAGAAGTCGAGACATTATTAAGGCATCGTGGTGAAATGAGGTGCTCGTCTAAATATTGAATGACGTCAAAGAAACGAGCATTTTTTCCCGCTCCTTGGGCAGTTTTAATCCTTCTTTTTCCTTTTTTCGTCTCAACATCTCTTTGTCCAATATAAAATATATTTCAGTATGAATTTTATCGGAAAACGTTTACCTAAGGCACCAAAAATGTGAATTTGCAGTTTCCAAGGACACTACAATTGTGTAATTCATCAGAAGATGGTGGCCATCTTCTCGCTAATTTTGCCTCTGATACCAGGCTGCCCCAGCCTCTTTTAATCGCAAAAATCTCGATTTCTATTCAAGATAAATGCAAGATAAATAACAAACTTTAAAACTATATTAATCAAGCCATATGCTCAAAAAGTGACGAGCGCCTGATTCCACCGCGACGTAACACATTTGCTATTTAGTGAAGTGGGGGTTGTCTGATGTCAGAGGTAAAATTAGCGAGGAAATGACGGCCATAGTTTGGTGACTTTCAAAGTTTAAATGTCTTTGGAAACTGCAAATGTATATTTTTTATGCCTTTAATCCACATTTTGCACTAAAGATACGCAAAAGAAGGAGTTTCTGAATCGACAAAATAGTTTTTGTCTGAAGTTTTTAAAAAAGATTCAACCGTAAAGGACCGGGGGGAAGGGGGTGTCTTTTTTTTCAATTTCAATACTTCAACGAGCGCCTGATTTCATCACGACGCATATTAACATAGCCAGCTCTTGTGTATTCGTACATCTGCTGATGAGGATTATATGTCTTGTTTTTTTTACCTCTGGCCATGTTTTGTTCAAGTACAGTGTCTGCTTTGACCTGGAGGGACCATAGAAGTGGATATATAGACAGAGAGAGCGTTTGTGCCTTGTGTAACTAAATGCATAAATCGAATGAACCTTCCAGTAAACTAGTATATTTTTTTTCTATAAGGTCAAGGTTCATTGCGTCTGCACATTGTACACTGATTCTTTTTCGAATCCAATACAATAATATTATGCTGTGTAAACAAATTTTAATACCCATAGACACATTCTGTTGATTCATTCGTTAATTATACGTCCCTCGCCTCCTCCCTTCCCGCTTCCCCTTCCTACCCACTGCCGCCTCTACCAGCGGACAATATCAATATCAAAATTGTTCTATGAATCACTTGGGGGGGGGGGGGAGCTGGACTGCTTCGCCTGCGTTTGCTAAAGCCAACCCTGCCTGACTCGAATACAGATTCCTATCGTGCAGACGGAGCCATGAGAATAAGTAGACTTCAAACCCCTGGCAACTGGCATGGCCAACCTGGGGTGAGGCAGATGCCAAGTCCCAGCAGAGGGACGAAGATACCCTACTGAAAAAACCTCCTCATACTGGAAGCAGACTCTTGCTTTTTACAAGTAACAGTGAAGTGCCTACCCACAACATAACGAAGCTGGTAAAGAAAGAAGTGGGATGCCAGTACCATACCATACTTTCTGAAGTCTGCACCACCAGTCTTGTCCGTATTCTATGAAGCCTTTGGCAGCATCACATTTGTGCTCACGTGACCTTGAGTCTGTCACAACCTGTCCGTGTTGGTTGTTTACCCAGAGAGACAAAGACGTCAGAGGTCTCTTGCGTCTCCCACGACTATATAATCACAGCGGACCCCCTACTCAAAACACCGGCACTCCTGGGTCCTTCAGAAGCCATGGTGAGTAGCAAAGTGCCTTCATTGTTGTTGCTGTTGTCGTTGTTTCTAATGAAATGTTTTAACGCCACCATCGAAACAATTTAGATCAATTAGGAGGCTTGCTTCGACTTAGTCCGCCAGGGCCAACCCGAGCTGAGAGAGATTCAAAGACCCAGCAGAAAGACATAGACTCTTGATAAACATTCTTCCCTCCTAACGGGAATCGAACATTTTGCGAGGGGAAAGTGCCTAAACTCTACAGCATAGAGTACACTGACATCTGTAACTGTAGCGTTTCAAATGTACCTTTCGTAGTACACACACTGGGCCTCCACTCTCCTTGGGGCCACATATCGGTCGCAGTAACGTCATTCACAAAAGACGATTAATTTCAATTTTATTTTTTTAATGGAAAAAGCCATGCGGAGGTAAGGGGGTGGGGGTGGGGTGGAGATCAAGATTTGTGTAACATCGTGGTGAAATTAGTCGCTTACGATTATAAGAAAATTACCTTTTTCCGCAGGTTGATAATTGTTTTCCCTATTTTTTCTTCAAAGTGGTTTTTTAATATGTTTATTTTATTTACTTATTTTATTTATTTTTGAGTTGGTGGGTGGATCAACATCTTTTACGATCAATTTAAACACATTTGTGTGTGGACTTTACTGAAAAGTGTTGATCAAAGGCACATTAAATGTTAATTTGTAGATTCCAAGGAAACTGAAACTTTAGAAGTCACCAACCGTTGACGACATTTTGTCCTTCATTTTACCAGGTGACCCTCACCTCATTTAATCGCAAACATCTCGACGTCTGTTCTAGGTAGGTAGATATTTTTCCATCAAAAGCAAAAGAATAGAAGACGCTTTATTGTTATCCAACAGCTCTCTATATTTAAAACTTGACGAGCGCCTGATTCCACCATGCCGTGACACATTTACTTTTACCCCCTCTAAGTTCTCGTAACTTTTCTTTCTGCGGGTGGTTGGAGGGAGCTACTAGTACGTACAACTTCTTTACTTTCCCACTGTTTGTTTCTGTCTGTTTGTCTTACTTGTTTCCACCACGAAATGACCATTATTGTTTCGATGTGGTTTTCTTTACTAAAAGAAACAAACAAACAAGCAACTTTTGTTTCTGGTTCCAGAATTCGGTGATCTTCATCGCCTCATTTTACGTGGTGCTGGTCACACCAGTCATGGTCAAATGCCTGGCGCCAAAAACTCCACCCCCAGAAGGTGGTCTGACCCCCCCACCCCTTCATGTCCCCTACCCATCCCCACCCCACCTCCTCTACCCACCAGCCCCACCTCCCCTACCAGTCCTTAACTCTGTACTCTTACTGCGGAATAAATAAATAGACAAGCTTACGGCTGTTTTCGCTGGCTGTTAATTGTTCTGGTTCAAAAATTGCCATGGTAAAGGTTTTCAAACAGAATTTGTGGTGTAGTGGTTAGGGCTCTTCGCTATCGCACACAAACGACCTGAATTTGATTCCCATGTGGGGAGAAGTTTTTCGAGTATACCAGTCCTTCTGCTGGGACATTGTATCCCTCACAGCTCAACCTAGCTTTGACAGACGGTGTAGAAGCCCGTTTCTACATGATCTAAATCGTGTCAATGGGGGTGTAAAACACTTAGATGAGCATTAGCAACAGACTTTGAATCCTAGCAGTAGCTAAAGGAAGATGGGCAGGAGGGGGGAGGGTTGCACCATAATGGGAGTTGGGGGCTTTGTACTAATGTGGGCCATTTTTCCCTTTTCGGCCAACATTGAGTATTGTATGGTAGACGGCTGCCTGTTGTTTCACTGTGTGTTCTTGCCTGAAGAGGTTTCTTGGTCTGTTCATGTCACTTTAGAGTACATTTCCAAGCCTCTGTTCAGTTCAAAAGTGTCCAGAAGGAAGATCACTAAGATGAAAACTTATAACCCCTTTGACTTGATTGAACTGCACATCTTATATTTATTAATTATTCCGTGCTGGTCAGCTTTGTAAAATAATATAGTTCATAATTTAGATAGGGCACTTAAAACCCAAGCTCTGAACTGTTTATCAAAATGAAAAACATTTATGACAAATCAATACTGCATACCTCTAGACTTAGTGAAAAGACTGTTTGATACTCTGTTGGGAGCTCAGTAACACACCTAGATAAAAAGAATGATACACAGTGTCTTAAATAACCTTACAGTATTGACAGAGCCATCAAAGACTAACTGAACCAAACTGTCTTTCTTCGTTCCAGAATTTTTCAAGTGTTGACATCTTTATCAAAGTTTTATCTTCGGTTCCAAATACCTGCGAGTATTGATAGGACTGCTTAGTGTTTAATTTATTAACGTTTTCTTTCTAATTCCAGAAACCTGTCAGCAATAATATGGATATTGGACTTTTATTTTATCAAAGTTTTCTCTCTGGTTTCCGGGCACTTTACAATATTGATTTCCCCGTTAAACATTTATTTATTTTATCTAAGCTCGCTCTCTCTCTGGCTCCAAAAACATTTAAATTAAAATTAAACTTCACCAAAGTTTTCTTTCTGGTTCAAGAATCTTTACGGTATTCACGGAGACGTTAATCCCCTAGTTTATCAAATTTTTCTTTCTGGCTCCAGAAATCTTGCACTATTGATAAACACGTTAAACATTTGCTTTATCCAAGTTTTCTCTCTGGTTCCAGAACTCCGTGATTTTCCTCACCGCACTTTGCGTGGCTGTAGCCACACCAGCATTGGTCAAACGCCAGGCACCTCAGAACCCTCCTCCTCCAGTAAACGGCGCAAACCCTGCTCCACAACAGCCACCTTTTCCTTTTCCGCCACCTCCAGGCAACGGCACACTCCCCCAATTCCCTCCACCCCCACCCAATGGTACCCGCCCCCCGTTTCCGTTACCTCCACCTCCCAGTGGCCCATTCGGCCCACCCCCACCTCCCCGCGGCCCTTACGGTATCCCGCCACCACCTCCAGGAAGATTTGGCCCACCCTCCCGAGGTCCGTTGGGTCCAGGTCAATTCCCCCCACCCCCTTTCGGCCAAGGACGAGGACAGCAAGGTCGGTTCCCCCCACCCCCCTTCGGCCAAGGACAAGGACAGCAAGGTCGGTTCCCCCCACCCCCCTTCGGCCAAGGACAAGGACAGCAAGGTCGGTTCCCCCAACCACCTTTCGGCCAAGGACAAGGACAGCAAGGTCGGTTCCCCCAACAACCTTTCGGCCAGTTCGGCTCCCAACGGCAGCCAAACTTCAACTTCCCACAGCCCCCACAGGGAGGTTTCCAGTTCCCCCAAGGATTCCCACAAAACGGTAAGATTTGTTGTTTGTTTGTTTTTTGTTAGTATTCGCTCACTGTCACAGATTTGCCGGAGAGTTCTTCCCTTCAGATGTTGTAGAGAACAATTCTTTCATTCAAATGTAGAGAACAATTCTTCCATTCACATGTAGAGAACAATTCTTCTATTCGAGAGTAGAGAACAAGCAGCAAAATCACGCTCTAGGGTTGTTGGGGGTTTTTTCATCTCGATTTTTAAAAAGTGTGCGCTCACAAATGCATAAGATCAATATTATGAGTAGGCGGGACACACTGAGCATTTTCATTTTGTGTATGAATTGATTTTGAATTTTACTGAGGTGGCAGCCAAAGCCTACTCTTAGTTATATAATATAGGACCACCAAGTGATCTTTAAAGTGCGCAATTTGCACACGGAGCCTCCGATATTTTTCCCCCTTATTCAAGAAGACTATTTATTATGTTAGATCTCATCAACCTCGAAGATCTGGTGTGTGGCTGAAAGGCGGCACTCAGACGGAGCCAAGGAGTAGTAGTAGAAAGACAGCAGCCCAGAGGAAAGCGCAAGGAGTGCGGGGGGGGGGGGTATAATGGAGCAGAAAGTGGAGACGAAACCAGACGGCAGAACATAACTTGAGAGCCTGAAAAATGTACACTTTTAGAGAAGAAAGCGTTCCACAGCTGTTAGATTTCTGAAGCAAACACTACCTCTAGACCACGAGAGCCCCCAGGAATCATGTATGCTACGAAACGGTGTTATCAGGCGCTCGGATTTTAGGTTCGGTGATCAGAGCCTCACCTTGGTCCGACGTTGTGTCTTTGGGAAAGGTACTTTACATTAATTACCCGTTTGGCTCGTTCCTTTCCGAGATGGCCGTTAAACTCGGAGGTCCCACCTCCCAAATAACTTAATTGTATTGATAATAATAATAATAATAATAATAATAATAATAATAATAATAATAGTAATATTAATCATGATAAAAAGCACTTGAGTAGCGCATGTCCCCACTCGAAAGCAAACTCTATGCGCTTTACACTATATTGTATTAATACGGACGTTAAACCGACATAATTTCACCATTTCACCATTTCGTATTCTGCCTGCAAACAAAAGATGTGATCCCTCAAAGTGTACCAGCATTCGGATTGGCTGTTACCATCAAACCAGTCAAATGGTGACCTAGAAAGTCAAACGTGCTTGGTGTCTTTTTTTGGGGGGGGGGGGTAATCAAATTGTGCCAAAATAATAGGTTTTCCTCTTCCGAGAAGGAAAATCTTGCCTCCTCCTCCTCCTCCTCCTCCTCCTCCTCCTCCTTCTTCTTCTTCTTCTTCTTCTTCTTCTTCTTCTTCTTCTTCTTCTTCTTCTTCTTCTTCTTCTTCTTCTTCTTCTTCTTCTTCTTCTTCTTCTTCTTCTTCTTCTTCTTCTTCTTCTTCTTCTTCTTCTTCTTCTGTATATCTAAACATCCCCCGATACTCCATCTACAGGGTTCCCCCAACGAGGATAATTACCACGACCTCGGTAAGTGGCCTCCCTTTGTTTCTCTCACTTACTCCGCTCTTACGACCACCTGTATATGACAATCACCTGCGCTAACGGCCACTTCCGTTTGCCAGCCTTGCGTACTATTTACGTTATTATATTACTGTAGAAGATGTCCACGTTATCAAGACCGTCACTTTTTCTACCCGCCAATGATGGTCGTCTTAAACAGTTTCGGTGTAATTATGTCACGACATGCTAAGTCCAGACGCTCTTCAGCTTTTGGACACATAGAGTGATTGTTTTTTTGTCTTTCTTTTATATGAAATAGAAGTCGTGATATTAAAAAATGAAGGATTTTGAGGTCGCATATTTCAGAGGTACAGTTAGCAAGAAAATAGTGGACGAGGTTTGAGGATTTTCAGAGTTTTGAGTGTGCTTTGAAACTGCAAAATAAATCGCAACATGTTAGGTACGTACACTCTTTAGATTTTGGGCACAAAAAGTGACTTTTCATTTGTTTTACTTTGTATAAAATAGTACCCATCTATCTTGAATATAAGTCATGTTTGTACCTTTAATCAATGTTTTTATTATATCCTCACAGAAACGTTATGTTTTCAAATGTACACAGAAGATGTTGGACTGAAAAGATAAAGAAAATCAGACCTAACACAAAAATGCCAGTCTCCTTCATATAATTATTTTAAAGAGTTCCTGATTTGAACAATACGTTACTCAATTTGACGTGACAGTTTCGAAACATTTTTGAACGACACGTAGATATTCAGAAAGAGCCTGGCAATTTTCATATATTTTTCACACTTGAGCAAATCTCTCGCAAATCTATAAACCACCACCTATATTTTCATCTGAGGTTCTATCCACCTGCTTTCATATCCATCCTGCACAGACTGCATCATAATAATAGTTTGTCCGTCAATGTATGAGAGTAAAAAAGAATGAGAAGAATCAAATGTTAAAATAACTTGTGGCTTCTGCTGTGGTCGATGAAACAAATTCTGGCGAAGAAAATTCTGCTACATTTTGAAACATAATATAATAATTACGGAGTATTCTCTGACTTTTTACATCACAGTTATGAAAGTAACTATGCCATCTTTCCCCAGGTTTAAGCTCACAGTCCTAGGACTCGGAATTCAGTCAAGGCTGCCACTACAGACACGTCATTTCTCGTGGTGATCTCGACATTTTCTCTGTGCTATGGACACAACAGAAGCCTATAATACCATTACCAAACATGTAATAAATGCATGTTTAATCAAAGCTATTCACGACTGATTCTGGGTTTTTCTGTTTCTGAGAAATTGCATACGTTTTACTCATCTTTCAACTCAAAACTGTTATGTTTTTTAAAAAAGCGGGACCTCCGAAGCTACCTTCTATCTCTGATGGAACACAACCAAATGGGTAGAAAGTCTTACAATTTAAACCTCCCCGAAACACGCCCTAGGGATGATTAAAGGGTTGTTGTTTTTTATGTGTGTGAAATGCAACGTTTGTGGTGACAATAAACCCGTAGGTCTGATTGTCTTCTGTATAATATTGTTTTGGCATACGACTATAACTTTCTTTTTCCTGTACCTTTTGATAACAAGGCTATCTGGAATCACCAGTAAAACGAATCTTGTTCACTACACAGTAAAAAAAACACAACAAAACCCAACATAAAAGTCAATGTGAACCCCCTTTCTCCCTCCCCTCCCCTTC